GGTGGGGGGGGGCCGGCCGCGGGGCAGAGACACTGAGAGCTGCAGCCCGCCTCCTGTTCACCTTTCATGCTTCAAAGCTCTTCTTTACAATCCAGAGACTTTCTGTGAGGGGGGGACGCAGCAGCAGCCCCCCCCCCCCAGGTTATCACCATCCCCAGTTTCATCAGTGTGGCTGTTGCTCCTCCACCACAGCTCCATCAGTCTACATCCATGAGGTCTGAGCAGGATGCTTCCTGTAGTTACAGCATCACAGTAAAACTACTTCCTGTAGTTGCAATATCACAGCTCAGCCACAGGGGCTTCTGGGAGATGAAGTTTAAAAGAGCGGTGACTTGTGTCTCTGTGTGTTCAGTTCAGGTCACTGTCTGGTGTCTCTGTGAGGAGAAGATACCTGTGATGATAATTATCCACCTGTCCAGCTCAGGTGTGCTCTGACCTGTTGTTATCTGTGTGACAGGAGGGGCGGAGCATGTCTAGGATGTCTCTGAGCCGCTCACCTGTGTCTCCCATGACCGCCCAGGGCATCCCGTCTCCTGCCCAGCTCACCAAGGCCAATGCCCCCGTCCACATCGATGTGGGGGGGCACATGTACACCAGCAGCCTGGCAACGCTCACCAAGTACCCCGAGTCCAGGTAAGACCGCGCGGGGTGGGGGGGTCAAATCCAGGATTTCAGTGTGATCACGTACAAGGACTTCAATACCCAGAATTCCTTCAACATGACTGATAAACTGAACACATGACTGTGTGTGTGTGTGTGTGTGTGTGTGTGTGCAGGATCAGTCGTCTGTTTAACGGCACTGAGCCCATCGTGTTGGACAGTCTGAAGCAGCACTACTTCATCGACAGAGACGGAGACATCTTCCGCTACATCCTCAGTTTTCTGCGGACCTGCAAACTGCTGCTTCCTGAGGACTTCAAGGTGCTTCACTCAGACATGATCATGTTATACAGATGACATAATATAATGTAAAACCTCTGAACTCAGTCTGTACACTGCATAGACCAGGGGCTCGCTTCACAAGCCCCCACCCCAGCGTTCTTATTAGTCATTAACAATGACATTAACTAATGAAGGAACCATGTTGGATTTTAGTGAAGTAAACAGAGAACGATTTGCATACAGCAAGAAGATCATATTCATTCATTCATTAAGAAAATTAGTTGGCGATTATTTTGATTAAGTAATTGTCAATGCAAAAGCATCAAAGACTTCATGGATCTGGAGATTTGCTGATTCTCGGTTCATTTATTTGAATAGTTTGAATGTATTTTTTAACATTTTGAGGTTTCACTGTTGGTTGGACAAAAGGAAAACAAACACTGAGGATTTCATTTGGGACAGCCTGGGTCAGCTGTTCTGTTCCAGTCTGAGTCTGTTGGTCGGTTGGTCTAATCCAGTCCAGTTTCCTTCCAGTCTGTCAGAGACTAAAATACAGACAACACAGTACTAGCTGCTGGACAATTGAAATGAATCAATGAATGAATGTATGTGTGTATGACTACACTATGACTTTTTATACCTTAAGTTACTATGAGTTTTTATGACTTATTATAGTATGACTTGCTATAGTATGAATTTTATTGACTTAATATACTATGAGTTTTTATACCTTACTATACTATGACTTTTATACCTTACTATACAATTACTTTTATTATCTTACTATAATATGACATTATATACCTTACTATGCTATGACTTTTATTATCTTACCATACTATGAATTTTTATACCATACTATACTATGACATATATTATCTTAATATATTATGAGTTTTTATACCTTACTCTACTATGATATTTTATACCTTACTATGGCTGTTTATACCTTACTATACTATGACTTTTCATGACTGACTATACTATGACTTTTTTATGATTTTTTATGCCTTACTAAACGATGACTTTTTATGTCTTAGTATACTATGTCGTTTTTGACTTTTTATACCTAACTATACTATGTCGTTTTTATGACTTTTTAATGCCTTACTAAACGATGACTTTTTTATGACTTTTTATGCCTTACTATAGTATGACTTTTTATGTCTTATTATACTATGATGTTTTTATGCCTTACTATAATATGACTTTTTATGCCTTATTATACTATGATGTTTTTATGCCTTACTATACTATGACTTTTTATGACTTTTTATGCCTTACTATACTATGACTTTTTATGTCTCAGTATACTGTCGTTTTTGACTTTTTATACCTAACTATCCTATGTCGTTTTTATGACTTTTTATGCCTTACTATACTATGACTTTTTTATGACTTTTTATGCCTTACTATACTATGACTTTTTTATGACTTTTTATGCCTTACTATACTATGTCTGTGAATGTTCTCATTCGTCCAGGTCATAGTTATCTCTCTCTCAAATTAAATCGAAGGCAACTGGACTTGTATTTGTCTGTGGAAGACGTTTCGCCTCTTATCCAAGCGGCTTCATCAGTTCATCATGTATTGGTAGAGAGACCAATACATGATGAACTGATGAAGCCGCTTGGATAAGAGGCGAAACGTCTTCCACAGACAAATACAAGTC